TGGTGGTGAGGGTTATGTGGCCCAGTGTTAGAGTGTACAGTGGGTCTCTGTGATGGTGGTGAGAGTTATGTGGCCCAGTGTTAGAGTGTACATCACGTCACTGTGATCATGGTGAGTATTATATGGCTCGGTGTTCGTGCGTATAGCATCTGCCTTATTGCTGTGCTCTGCAAATCTTGGTTGTTAATTTCACCATTATTAGCATTAATTCCCATAGCAGTGCCACAAATGCTATGAGATCACAGAATACTCATTTTACAAGCAAAGAAATGGGAGCTCAGAAAAAATTAATGGCTTCTCCAAGATCACTGAATGAGGATATGACAGAACATTTAAGCCCAATCCAAACCCTGGTTGTTTTTTTTTCCCTCTCTCCTGAGAAAAAGGGGTGGCATCTACATTGACATGTAACCAGTAACTCACCTAAACATGCACCCTATCCCAGGGCCATGTTGCTACTCTGGTTCCCATCTAGTACCATGAGAGATGTCAGGGACAGGCCACAGCTTGTGAGCACCAAAGTCATGCCCCTTGGCAGGCTGATACACAGCTCAGAGCCCGGCCACCCGCTTCTGAGATCCCTCCCTCCAATGGCCCACCTTTCCATCAGTCAATTACCAGAAACTGAGATATTTCTACCACCTAACTTACTGATCCACTGGTGAAGTGAATTCAGATTTGCACCTTAATTATGATAAATATGAAATTGTTCAAGCCATGCACTTACTTTATTTCCAGGGAGAATTTGACATTGGTGGGTGTGTGCTTATTAACCGGAATGTTGAAATTGTAATTTCCAAACCTAATTATGGAAAAAATAAAACCACAAGTAAAAATACACAGGAAAGGCTTCAGTAGGCTTTTTGTCACCCATTGTATACTATGTAAACTGTGAAGAACTGTATAGTAAATAATAAATACAGAGAACCGACTTTAACAGGGCGTAGTTTGTGTTTACTGAGATATCCCTGTCAAATTGCAGAGTGAACTCTTTCAGGTCGCAATATAAAATGTGTCACAAAAATTTATAGTTTTTTAGAACAACACACACACAAAAATGGAAAGTCAAATCCCAAATGCACATAGGAAATCACTTCAGTTCCCTCTAAAGAGATACAGATATCTGCAGACAAATGAGGCAAAGGCCACAAACAAACAATCTCCTTGAATAGGAAGATTGGAAATAATAAATACCAGGTTTTCTACCATAAACAACTCCCTTTTAAGCAACATGAGGAGGAAATATGTACTTTTAGAACTTGAATCTGCTAAAATATTTCTAGTAATGGTGACTCTTACAAGACAGAGGTGCTTACACCCATCCTCTGAGGGACACAGGATGAGAGGGGCATGTCTCTGATTCATAATGTCAGGAGAAGCTCCAGCACAAGGGCCTGCTGTATTCGGCTCATGTTCTTAAGACCTGGCTATCCCTTGAATTTTATGGAGAAACAACTTAAAATCAGACAAACCAGAAAATTGGGAGGTGTTCATTTTAGATTTTCTTTATATAATAGTAAACTAAGTTTTAAAAATGTGAAAGCAAAGATAAAGGAAAGAGAAAGATCTGGCATTTTGCAATGTATAGGTATATTTAAAAAATCACACTGTACACATACAATTGTATTTGTCAATTATTCCCCCCATAAAACTGGAAAAAAAATAAGAGTGCTATGAGTGTGCCAACTTGAGAACAGTGTTATTTCACTGACAAGGAATTAGACAAATAGCAGGATCTGTGTTGGGATCAAGGGCACCCAGCCAGCCTGGGAAGTGTCTTCATCTCCTGTTACCCCCTCCCAGGATCTGTGTGCTCCCAGCAACCTCACTTGTCAACAGCATCCCCATCTCAGGGTAGAGACCACATGTGCAGGGAGAATGAACATCTTGTGGAAGTTCTAGGATCTGAACCTGAATTGTCCTGCTCTCCATCCTGTCACCTGCCACCCTGACCATCTGCCTCTGACCTTTTCAAGCTCACTAAAACTTGACTACAAAATAGGGACAGAAGAACACCAGCCTCAGGGTGGGTTGTGAGATTCAAGGAGATGATAATTATAGAGGCTGTGAAAAAATCATACAGCGCCATGCAGGTTACTTAAACTCAAAGGGCCATCAGCTTAAAGCCTAAGTTGCACCAGGTTAAAAAAGAAATAAGGCTGAAAAGACATAGGGTTTATGACCCCATTATGCCTTGCCTTTAACCTAGCAAACACCCAATAAACATTTATCAAATTAAGAAAAATAACTGCTATTCTTAATGCCTGCAATATGCATATGGTACCTGCCCTGAGCTTCCAGAGGCACCATTAACCTCAATGCAGGAGATAGGGCACACACACAAAGGCCGCGTGTTGCTGATAAATTTTTCAATGAATATCTGACTTTTTCCCTCTTAACTGGAAAAGCTAAGATAAGCTACATTTTTTCAGTAATTAAAAGTAATATCCCTTGTTATTAAAATGTGCAAATGTCAGCTCCCCCGTAACTTGGAGCCATCAGGAACAATGTCTTTCTTGTCTATGAGATTAACTAGCAGCTCTGTGCCCTGGGATGCGCCCTCAGCATCAGCCAGGCTTTCTGCTTTGGACCTATCCATTAAATCAGGAGATTGGAATCACTGGGCCCAGGGCTTATTGACGTTTGCTAATACCAACAATTTTATGATTCCCTTGTCCCCAGTATAAGAAATGTGTTTTCACTTAAGGAGCAATGTAAGCACACGCTGATTTTACCACGTAACCCCAGTGCCCTGGGTAAACTGCAGATACCCACCCGCACTGGAGGCTTCTACTGCAATACCGATGATCTATTACTTGCTGAATTTCCATAATCTGAATAGAACTGATGGTTGTATCAATCCCTGAATTTAGAAGAAATAGAGAAAAGAAAGTAAATCTTCTACAGAGGAAAAGAGTACCATATTCCAGCACAGTCCCCAGATTATGGACTGTGAAATTAGAGTTATTGAGATATATTCTATTTGCATTCAAATGGAAAAAGGAGAAGGAAGGAGAGAAGGTTTGTGGGCGGGGTGGGGGTTCTGTTTTGGTTTGGTTTGGGTTTTGGTTATAGTAAATTCTAAGAAAACTAATAAAAATTCAGACTCTAATAAAAAGCCCCCCAAACATTCAAAAGAATTTCTAGACTGTGGAAGTCCTACTAAATTGCAATTTATTGAAAATGGAGGGTACAACATGAAATGGAACCTGGTTAAGAAAATAGAAAACAAACTAAAACTATATTCAGGTTAGAAGAGGAAGGCAGGAAGTTTCCCTAAACATGAAAATCTATGAGACCAGCCACTACGTGTCCAGCAGGGAGTGCCGTCTGTTAGGCTGGTGTGGGTCACGAAAAGTGGCCCCACAGACATACGTGGCAGTGGGCACAGCCTTCATCCCTGTCCCTCACTCAATGATGCTTTTCACCCACAAAGCCAAAGAATAGTGTCACTTAAATGTCAACTTACAGTCACTTCCCCAGTCAGGGCTGGTGAGAGCATCTCTTGCTGGGAATGATTTGAGTTTGCCTTCTGCAAAGGAAAAACAGTCTGTTAGTCCTGAAGGCTTGTTCAGGATAAGAAGAAACCCGAGTGTGCCCTAGCTTGTCTCTGTGAGTTGAATTTTCCCCTCTTTCCCACCTTCCCACCCGTCCAATCCCCACCCCATTTCTTACAGATCCAGTTTCTGCTCACCCTTCTCCAAAAGGCCATCTGCTACAGGTGGAACTGGGTCCTCTCCACCGCCCCAGCCAATTCCTGTGTTGAATCCTAACCCCCGGCTCCTCAAAATGTGACTTTAAGAAGGTGACTGAGTTAAAATGAGGCAGTTAGGTGGGCCCTAATCCGATCTGACTGGTGTTCTTCTGAGAGCAGAGATGAGGACTCGTGGGGGGACAGCAGGGGCACACGTGCACAGAGGACAAACTGTGCAAGGGGACGGGAAGAAGGTGCCACCTGCAGACCAAGGAGGCAGCCTCAGAAGGAACCGGACCTGCTGACAGCTGAGCTTGGACTTCCAGCCTCCAGAACCATCAGGGACACGTCTGCTGCTGAAGCCACCTTGCAGTGGCTCTCTGTGAGGGCAGCCCCAGAGGGCCAAGGTGCCATCTGCAGCACATTCCCGCTATGTCGCTACCTAACTTCACATGTGAATTCGTCTGCTCTTTCTTGACAACTGCAGAATGGGGACCTCAGTGAACATTCTTCCAATCCCCTGGCATCGTGTCTCACTCACACTACAGAAACCATTTTTCTTACTTAATGACAAACTAATGGCAGATTTATTTCTTACTGAATTTTTGGATTAGTATTTTTGTCACTTAAGTGTTGCTCTCAGGATTATACATGCTAATGTAGAAAAATGGAAACAAGTCCCTGGGGAATCCCTGTTTGGGAATGTGCAGAAACAGAGCGCTCATTGATTCCAGGGGCAGCCCTTTCCTCGGCTGGGCAGGACTTAACGCCAGTTTTCTCCTTTTTTGAGCTGGAATCTTCCTTCCTGTTGATCTCCTTTCAACCCTGATGTCACCTCTCGAGAGACTAGAACAGCCCGTGAAGGGCCCAACCCGGCCATAGAAGCTGCTGAGGGAGGAGGGAGGGGCATATTCATGAGACATGTTTTGTTTTGTTTTGTATTTTCCTGTGTGAAAACAAAGGTTATTAGAAATATAACCTGGGAAGTACAAAGGAGAAAAAAATAACATGGATGTCTGAAATCTGATTTCTTTTTTTGAAATAGAGTCTTGCTCTGTTGTCCTGGGTAGAGTGCTGTGGTGTCATACCTCACAGCAACCTCAGACTCCCAGGCTCAAGTGATCCTCCTGCCTCAGCCTCCTGAGTATCTGGGACTACAGGTGCCTGCCACAACACCTGGCTAGTTTTTCTATTTTTAGTAGAGACAGGGTCTCACTCTTGCTCAAGCTGGTCTTGAGCTCCTGAGCTCAGGCAATCTACCCACCTCAGCCTCCAGAGTGCTGGGATTGCAGCTGTAAGCCACCTTGCCCAGCTGGAAATCTGATTTCTGAGCTATTCCTAGACATCTCAGGGGAAAGCAAAGAGCTGCAACAGTTCAGTTAAACAAGCCCTTTGGAGCTGAGTCCAGGTACCATAAGGGCCTGGCATCAAGTGTATATTAACCCCACTGGTTCTCGACTCTGCCTACCTCCTAGAGTACAGGTTCAAGGGCAGTAAAGTGAGCAGGTAAAAATGAAAAATAAAAGCAAGACTCTCTCTATGCAAAAATAATGAAATATCAATCTTCTTCATACAAATGAAGTTTGGGATCTCTGAAGATAACCAAAACTTAGAAAACAAATAGATTGCTTAGTAACTGAATAGGGTATGAAACGTCGGGGGAAATTCTATGAGACTTATACATTTTTGCGCTGAAAGACAACAGTGATAGTTTCACCACCATTCATTGACACCTTTTTACTGAATGCTGTTCCCAGGGCCTGGGGAAGGTTACCCCTGCCTGGCAGGTAAGCTAACAGAGGCACTAAGGGTCACTCGTGTCTAAGGAATAGAGGAGGGACTCCAATTTAAACCATCTCATTCCAGGGTCCACAATTTTGCTAACCTAGAAATATGTGAAACGCAGGGGGAAAATGAGCTGAAAGCCTAAGGTAAGGACTGGGCTGCAGCCTCGAAGAAAGGAGGCCGATCAGGGTGTAGGGAGAGAGGCCTGGGGGCGGCCAAGGGTGTGGCTAGCCCCCACCCTATGCTAAAAAGACACTTGAAAAGCAATTTGACCAAGTAGCCATTCGGATGAGTGTTGTTAAGGCTATGAAAAAAAAAATATGTAACTTACAAGAATATCATGAAAGCAATAATCAAATGGCTCCCTAAACAAACCTAGTGACAGAATGTTAGGAAGTTTTGGCAGCCATCTTCTTTTTAGATGTGCAGATTTAGGTGTCTGTTCAAGGTTTTGCATCAAATGTCAGGACAGAAAGTGATTCGTGGGACAGTTGCTGCAAGGCACCTCTATCCTCATCAGCCTCCTGGGTGAGGGGAAGGACTTAGTCCCCAAGACGGCATCTGCTCACTGTCCTTTCCCCCAGGAGGGCAATGCCGGGGAAGGGAGAGAGCCAGAGAAAAGGGAAGCAAAAGAAGAGAGAAGACCAATACCAATTGTTTAACCCCTAGAAAAAAAGTTTTCTCTTACATACCCAAAGGGAATTCCAAAGGGAATTTCCCAGGAGGTGGATGGGAGAGAAGCTGAGGATGGAGGTGGGAGTGAGACAGAATCTGAAGGTGGATTTTCTGAGCAAACTGCCCAGAACGATGCTTGCCATTAAGAAGAAATGGATCTCGCTGTATAGGATTTCTAGAAAACTGAATATTTATTTCCCTTTACATATAAATATATACTTGCCTAAAAGGCCTTCAGATTTCTTGGAGTCGAGCTATTCCAGTTATTAATAATTTTCAAACACATCTCCTACTATTAGTTTCACTTAAGTTTGCTTCCACAGAAGGCTGGAAATTCACAAGGCAAATGAGGCATAAGGAGGAGAAACCAGGGCTTCTCTCCCCTGCCTGTTTCCTTCTACCTTTTGTTCTACTGGCCTAGTGAATTTACAGAAAGAGAACTCATTATCAATCCTGGCAACAGAACCACAGGTTTGTCCCGCTGCCACAGAACTCTGTCTTCTGGTTCTGGAGACATAGAACCCTATGAATAGGGTTGAGTCTCTGATGGGATAAGGTTTTTTTTTGTGTTTTGTGTTTTTTTTTTTTTAAACAGTGATTAAAAAGGCAAAGTTGAAAAGAATCTTGCAGATCAGAATTACGAAAATGATTTTTTTAAGAGCAGGAAATAAATTTTAAATCTCCTATAACACATCTCCAATTTGTCACTTCTCCAAAGCAGGACTATCTGACTCTGAAAGGCTGGTTACTGGAAAACTACAAATCCTCCCATATTCAAACACAGGCAGCTCTCATTTGACTTCCAGTAATACTCACTATGCACTTAATATACTGTGTTTCCCCCAAAATAAGACACTGTCTTACATTTATTTTTTCTCAAGAAGACATACTAGGGCTTATTTTCAGGGGATAGATGTCTTATTTTTATTAAGTATAATACAACAATCTACATTTATTCAAATACAGTTAAG